CATTATCTGGCAACCTCCGTTCCTCGATATGGTCACTAATTTGTTTACTGCGTCGTTGCTGGGAAATGGTCTTATTTTCCGTACCTCGGGGTGTTTTGCAGTTTCTTCGTATGTGGCCTTCAACTCCGCAGTTCCAGCACTTTAGAACTAGTTTCTTTTCCCTTCTGTTCCATCTCAAATCGTCGACTTGTCTGGCTAAATCATCTAAACGAGCCATCAGTTGATCCACTGGCTCATGGACTCGCACAGCTCTAACTGGGTAGCGATTTCTACTAGTTGCTTGCTGGGCTGCCTCGAACTTCATGGCGTACAACAGAGCGCTTTTTATGTCCTTTACATCTGCCATTCGAAGAGCTTTCTGTATTTCAGGATCCCGGATGCCGTCGATGAAATATTGCAGCGACAGGATTTCTCTTGTTTCTATCGGGCACTCCGAAAAGGTGTGATGTGACAGCCTTTCAATATCCGTGGCGAGCTCCTGAAGTGTTTCGGTGGGCTTCTGCTGACGGGATTTTAGTTGAAGCCTGCTGTAGTTTTTCAAACACTTTTCACCAAAGCTCGAGCAGGCATCGGTAAGAATTTAAAATCATCACTCTTGCTCCCTGCCGTCGCTACGAATTTCTTTAAAGTATCCATTTCTTTGGCAACTGCAGAAACTCTCTCATCAATTTGTTGTTCGATTTGGTGTTGGACGGCACAAACTCTTCCTTCAATTCGTTCCTCCACAGCAGAAACTCTCCCTTCTATATGTTTTTTACAGAAGAAACTCTTTCTTCTATTTCTTCTTTCACCGAAGAAACTCTTTCTTCAATATGTCCAACTTTATTTTCAACTGCGTCAATTCTGCCTTCCATAGCTTCAAATTTATTTTTCTATTATGCAAGTAATTTCTCTTTTCATTTCCTCCTGACCTACTTTCATTTCCACTTGGAGGCTTTCATCTCCTCTTTAACGGATTTTTGAACAGACTTGAACGACTTCCATCTCGTTTTTAACATGAATCTTCCACCTTTTCCTGGACCAATTTCATTTCTTCCTTAACAGATTCCTGGCCCAATTTCATTTCTGCTTAAACGGATCTAATCTCTGCTTTAACAGAGTCTTTCATCTCTTCTTTAAATGATGCTTGGTCCAGCTTCCATCTTTTCTTGGAATGCAGCAAAAGCACTAATGAGCTGTCTTCAATTGTTCTTCCATCGCTCTGTTAATTGGCATTCAAATCCCACCTTCTGACACCAAAAATTGTTGCGTGCGTACGGGTTCGTTATGAGAATTGAATGCACAAGTCCGATGAAAAATGAACAAAAATTTATTATTATCACAACAAAAATGCTTAAATTTTCTCAAATTATCATGCAGTATTACAATATCTCACAGTAGTTTTTCTTTTAACTACTCAAATGTCCAATAGAACGTAATTCAAAACAGCTAAAGAACGCTAATCCGCGAATTCGCTACAATCAACAACAGTAGTTTTCTAAACAACAACAAACTAAGCAACTACTACAAACTGAGATGTTTTTTCCTCCTTTTATAAGATTTTTAAAATCACGCGCTAGAAATTTTCCAGTACTTTCTCGAAATCAAAAAGAGATATTTATTTATTTAATGCACGCGCTCTTGTATTTTCAATTTTCCGGCTTAGCTTTCTTTTAATATTCGTCACGCGCTGCACTGCGCGAGAAATAAAACCATTTAATTTATAATTGAACTAACATTAGCTTTTTAAATACCAAATTCATAACAGTATTATTGGAAAATTGCTATTAGCAACGATTTAGTTTAAAGTAATTAGGATTGTAAGCTAATTTTTATTAATTTAATGTATGTGCTTATTTATATTTTAAGTAGTGTTTTTTAATTTAATGATCGTGATTTTGAGAGTTATATGTTTGTAGTATTTTGGAATACGTTTATGTTAAAGTAAATGTGCATGGAAAGAATTTAAGTATTTGACACTAAGTATTTGTAATAATTTTTAATGTTTTGTTATAAATTCGTTGGTGACGTTTATAATAGATAATTTAGAGGTAAAAGTTTTTGGATATTTTATTTATTTTATACGTGCAAATGTCCATCCTTGGAAAGGGTATATACTTTTTCGCGATCAGGTAATTTCATATATGTCCTTTTTACCAAATTTAAAGATTCACAAAATTTTCATGCATTTTCATGAAATTTTTCTAATTTATGAGAAAAAGCAGTGTATATGGATATAGTCAAGAGTGTGCACAATGCCATTTTTGTGCAATTCTGGGATGTTTTTAAGTAAAAATAAGTCGATGTGTACATGGTTTAGTTACATTTTAATTAAATGATAGTTATTTTGCGAATTTTATGTTTGTAGTTTGGTATACGTTTCAGTGGAAGTAAACGTGTATGGAAATAATTTAAATATTTGACACTAAGTATTTGTAACTATTTTTAATGTTTGCATATAAATTCGTTGGTGACGTTTATAATATAATAGATAATTTAGAGGTAAAAGCTTTTGGATATTTTATTTATTTTATATGTGGAAATGTTCATTCTTGGAAAGGGTATATACTTTTTCGCGATCAGGTAATTTCATATATGTGCTTTTTGGTAAAATCCTAGTATACGGTGCAGTCTTGGCGCGACTTTGAAAATTATCGCCAACACCAAAAATGACCCAAAAAACGTCTATATATATACTATACACACATAGTATATGTATATACACACATAGTATATATACTATATACATAGTATATAACTGTTTATGTTTAACTATATATTTTCTTTGAATGACCCGTTAACTACTCATCGTATATGTCTTGTTTTCACTGCTCATCATGGAGTCGCCAAAAGTAGTCAAATCCCGTGTGCACCGGATACTAGGATTAAACCGTGCTTTTTACCGAGTTTAAAGATTAAGAAAATTTTCCTGCATTTTCGTGCAAATTTTTGTAATTTATGAGAAAATAGCAGTGTAGATGGATAAAGTTAAGAGTGTGTGCAATGCCATTTTTGTGCAATTCTGGGATGTTTTTTTAAGTTAAAATAAGTCGATGTGTAAATGGTTTATGTGTATGTGCTATTCTGAAAAACGCGCAAGGAGTTTGTGATTGTGCACTTTTGCAGTTAATATTTGTCATGATTAAGCAGTTTTGTTATATAAAATTTCTAGCATAAGTGTAATTTGGCTAGCAGATTGTTGGAAAAAGTGTTGAGTAAATAAAAAGAAACATGTCTTTACTTCGTGAAGACAAAATAGCGGCGGGGGGAAAAAAAAATTAGAGGGTTTCTGTAGCAGAGTTTGTTGCCAAAAAATCGCTAAGTTACCATAATCCAAAGATCAACCATATTATCTTCCTTTGATCCCGAACTGGAGAACCGGCATATATCGACGAAAACTTCTTTAATTATACGAAAATATTTCTATCTATTAATTGTTAAAAAAATTCAGAAAAAATAATAATAAATAAGAGAAGAATTGGGTTTTCATCCGCAGAGAACCCGTTGGCGCTTCGGGAAAAACCCGTTGGCGCCATTGTATTCTTACTCGCCAAGCTCGCGGTTCATCGACGATGAGCCGAGCCGTAAACGTTATTTTTAGTGCATGTAAATACAAGTTAGCAGATAAAACAATATATTAAGCATATGGTAATAAAAATTCACAGATAATATGCATGTAGATGTAAAACTAAACGGTTAAACGTGATATACGAAAATTAATTTGTATTAAATTCAAGTTAGCACAGAAAGGAATATATTATTAAGCATAATTCCAGTTAATACAGAAAACAATATATTCCTTACATCAGCAGTGATTTGCTAATTTTGATGACCATGGTGATGCATCAAACTATTCTATCATCTTAGATAATCAATAATATTTTTTTATTTCAATTTAATCATCTATTTATGTCACACCTGCCATCCTCTGAAAGGTTATTGTTAGAAAAGCATTAACAATATATTATCTTGTTAAAATTTTACGCCATAAAAATTGATTTAGTCTCATAATTTTAGATGACAATAAACAATAATAAAAATTTAATTATTTTAAATGAACATGCGCATTTTTGCGGTCTACGAAATCAAATTATTTTAGACTTTGGAAACCTCATGGTTCTTAGAGCTGTTAAAAAATAATAATAAATAAGAGGAGAATAATATAAATCTGCAAATGCGAACAACGACAGAGTTAATTCAACGAAATACACGCAAGAGGAATGGTTGCAAACTTCGAACAAGCAAATATGATAAATCTGATGGGTTACCAAGTTTGAACTATTATCGCCAAAGTTGGCAATGTTTACATTTACCGGGTTCTCTCCGGAAGTGCTTCCGAAGAATTATATAAATCTCCAAATGGGAACAAGAGAATAGGATGAATCGGCTAGGTTACCAAGTTTGAACTATTATCGCCAAAGTTGGCGATGCTTACATTTACCGGGTTCTCTGCGGAAGTGCTTCCCTTGCAACATTTATGTAAAAACATATGAAAGATATAAACCTTATAAAGCAATTTTTTCCCCTTTTTAAGAAGGGCAGGTTTAATCCTAGTATCCGGTGCACACGGGATTTGGCTACTTTTGGCGACTTTATGATGAGCAATAAAATATACGATTAGTAAACGGGTCATTCAAAGAATATATATAGTTATACATAGTACATACTTAGTGTATAGTTATATACATAGACGTTGTTTGGGTATGTATATAGTGTATAGTTATATACATAGACGTTGTTTGGGTATGTATATAGTGTATAGTACACAGACGTGGTTTGGGTCATTTTTGGTGTTGGCGATAATTTTCAAAATCGCGCCAAGGCTGCACCGTATACTAGGATTTCACTGAAGGGCATTCGTCAGTTCACCTTTGAAATCAAGTTTTATTTAAAATCTTATCTGACATATGATTTAAAATCTCTCTGCCATATTCAATATAATACAGATGGAAATACTTTCAGAGCGGAAATTTTAATTTAATTACGACATATACCTGGGAAGGGCATGAGAAAAAACTTACCGCTGTTGCTCTTTACGAACATCAACCTCCAAAGCGTGAAAATCAATAGACAGGAGTGCTACAAGAGAATTTACTACTTCAATTCCTGATAAAAGTTGTAATATAACTTTGCGCTTTTGGGCCCATTCCCATGACTGATCTAATGGTGCACAAAGTGCCATACGAACTAAACAAGGTAATAACGGTCTCAATTCTGATTCATTTAACTTTGATAGCTCATCTGTATTTACTCGCTGAATAGCAGCAAAAGCTTTAGGCAATACATGTAATTTTGAAGACATTTTTATTATTTTGCATTTAACCAAGGAGATCTTGCATTTAACACAGTACACACAACTCGCCGCTTAAAACAAAATCAAAACACGATGGTATACTATGAAGTTGAGCTGTCTGTAGCTGCTTTTAACTAAAAGTATTTTAGTTTCGGAATGGAAATTGAAATGATTTTTTGATGTAGTTATGTTTCCTTTTCAGTTAAATTTTTAACAAACTAGATACCTTTAATTTTCTTAAATCTCTTTTCTACTTCTTACTTCCTACCATCACATAAACATTATCTAGTAAATTAGTATTCAATCTGGCATATTTGTGAAGCAGTTTGTTTACATGGAGATTGTTTGTTTTTTTGCGCGGCAACCATATGATTATAGTCAAAGTAATGCATAATCTAACGTACATTGCTCAGAAAGATGATAATTTTTCCTACGATATCCGTCGTATTTGTTTATGATGCATTAAGTGGAAGTAAGTGTGCAGAATATATAGTAACTCGGGAAGACATGCATATGTTTTTTGAATTCAGATCTGAGATTGGATGATCATGGATCTCTTCATTTTGCTTTGTCGAAAAACTACAAGTGATTTTTAAAGATTAGCAGAACTTGGTGTTTTATATTATTTTGCATATTCGTTTTTCATTCTGTTGATTTAAAAATGCCGTAAAGTGTGAGTTTAACTGTCTATTTTATTTATCAGGTTTCAGAAAAAGAAATTTAAAAATTTGCAAATGGGAAAGGTCAGTTGGTGTTTTTCTTTTTCAAAATTGTCATCCGCCTGTAAATTTATGTTTAGTAAATTAATAGTCATATGAGTACTTTTACTTTATATGCAACGTATTTGCCAATTTCCCCCTCTTTATGTTTAGAATATCAAGGTAATCCTACTCTGAAACTATGCTTAATGCTAATATGGCTAAACTGCTTGTGATACACATGTTATACACAATTAAATATACATATCTGCTAGGTTTTTAAGTATGTACCTTTAACTGGAGTGGCAAGTTTTTTTTTTTCTTTTCTTTCTATCTTTTTCCTTTTCTTCTTTTTCCTCCTTTTTTTTTTTTTTGGCATGAGAAATTTATTTACTCAGGTTATATTCTTTCATTGTTAACATATTAAGTTCTGAGGTAATTGTCTTCTTTCACTGTTTACATATGTTATATCAAACTGCATCATATTTGAAAGAAAAAAAAAAAAGCTGTTGCTCATAGGAATCACAGAAATAAATAGTCTTTATATTGATAATCTGAAAAGTGATAAAAATTAATCATTGCAGCAAAATATTTGAAATTGGAAAGATTTTTAAGGAATGTTACCAAAATAACACAAAATGGTTTAGAAAGAATGAATACCAGATATTGCAATCTGATGGCAAAATTATTTTTAATAACTGTAAGAAAAATACTTATCTGAGTTTGAAGTGCTTTAGCACACTCCATAAAAGTGATTTGTGCTCGCATATTGTCCCAACTGCTTATTAGAAATTGCAAAAATTTTTATTCAGACAGCCATGTGCGTGACAAATATGCAGTTTCCATTGTCCCCATTTCTCTATGTGTTCTTTTTATCGTAATTTAAGTTCCAACAGTTTTTATAAGCAAATAGTGATTTTTTTATTTTTATTTATTTTATTAGTAAAGCTTGAGTATAGCACTCCATTTTATTTATCCTTAAACTCATTAAAATATGTTCTTATAGGATTTCCTTACAATAGAAGAAACTGCAGACTATAGAATTTTACTGCAAAATCACTAAAGGAACAATGCCTTGAATTCTTTCTCAAAGCAGTTGCTATGATATTTCCCAACAATAATAAAACCTGTTTGTAACTCAGTTTACTGACTGTTTTTTTGAGATAAATATGTAATTAAAATGTAAAATAAATATGTGATAATAAGTATGTATGTCATTTTTAATAATTTTTACACTAAAAAGTAATTGTTCTTTTTCTTCCATAAAATTCACCATACTGTGCCAAGGTGTTTGTGATAATAGTACTTAGGTACCAAATGATTATTGGATATTGTATTTTATTATTTCCATTAATATTATTAAAAGTAATATCAGCTGTAAATTATGGCTACTTTCCCCCTTCATCATAAACTCATCATTTTTCTTTTTTAAGTAAAAATGTTTAATTTAATATTTCTACTCTCAAAATATTGCATTTATAGCATGAGTCATCAGTGATCTGTACATCCTATACAGATATTTCGTTCTTGTTCATTGACGATCAGTCTAATCTTAGAAAATTTAGTGCTTTGGTATTGGTAGCTATTAGAGTTTGAAAGAAAGTTTACTGTCAGTTAATTGCCAGTTACAAAAATTATGCTTATTGGTTGACTGGTGTGGATACAGTTATACATTGTTTTTATTTAATGTTTCTGATCTTTTATATGTTTCATTCTTAGAATGACACATTTATGGAGCCAAAAGAAAATGGACTTCCTATTCCAACAGCAGCAGTTTTATGCCTTGGTCTAAGTTTCTATATCATTCTTATTATAGTGGGTTTATTAGTAAGAAAATGCCTTATAGTAAGTTAAAAACAATCCATATATCTTTTTTTTTAATTAATATATATATATATATACCAAGAAAATAAGAGGAATAATTTTATGATATAATTGGGATTGTTGGAAACATTTTCAGCTTTTCATAAATGGTCTTAACATGAAACTCCATTAAACTCTGCATGTAGTATTGAGTGTTATTTCTATTAATAACCTTATTGAGGCTTTTTCATTAAGTGTATCAAAAGGAGTTTCGTACATCCAGTCAAATATTTAAAATTTAAAGCACATGAAATTGGTAAAATAATAAAATTGTCAAACTATTTCAAATTATGTCATATCTTAACCATTTCATTGTCCAGTATTTTGGACTGTCAAGATAGTGTGTGAAATCAGTGTTTCAATAATTTAAAAATAATTCTGTACATTTTTTTATGAAGTATCTAATAAAATGGTGTTTTCCCCCTTAAAAATATGATAATTTTTAATCAGATCGTTGGAAATATGCCTTTAATTAAATGGAACTTGTGGCAAATCCTTACTAGATTGTAAGTAACTTATCGCTATGTCTAACTTGAAACAAAAACATGAGAAGAGGGTGTAAAAGATCCTTTTATTTTAAATTAAGTAAGTTGAACAGACGACACACCTGGTGCTTACAAATCAACCAGCAATTACGGCAAGACCTCAGAATATAATTTTAAATTAAAACTAAATCTAAGTATTTATTAGCCAAAGGATACACAGAAAAATTTTAATGTGGAAGTTTTCACTTAAGCTTACACTGGCTTAATAGCAAGAATAAAGCAACAATGACAGGAACTCTATCTTAGCTTAACAACTAGTAACGTATCTTCAGCAGACAGAACACATTCTTTCTTAACAATCTCAAAGCCTCACTTAAATGCATGCAAGCTAATTTGAATTCTGGTATAAAAACAGAAAGAGAGAAGTGCCATTACAAATTCAGAACATGAAATAACTAGTTAATTAACATAACATAATAATAATTAACATAAATAACTAGTTAATTAACATAAATAAGCACTACAAGGTTACATAAATACCCCTCCTTTACTTAATTTCAAATCACTAATGGACTAAGTATTTATATAATTTTCAGCTTCTAATGCTTTATTATATTTCTAAAACTGTAAAAACTTTTTCAAGTTTATTTTTATTTTATTTTATTTATTTATTTATGTGTTCGTTCCTGATTCGCAGCATTTTCATTTATTTCTAGAAATGTGCAGATTAGTAACTGAAGAAAAATACTAGAGAAAAATGCAAATCAAATAATAGATTTCCCTGTTGCTGTTAGGGGCTCATTTACAGCTTTTGATCTAGTATCATATTTTATGCTTTAAGTTGGGTAAATTATTGTGTCTGTTGATTTCGCAGAGTACGTACCCATAGTGGAAAATTAAGTTCAATTGAAATAAAAGTAGTTAGGAAAATAGAAGAAAATTTAATACTGAGTGTACTCAATATGATTATCTGCACCTTCTCCCAAAACGTCCGTTTCCAAAAATGACTAACAAAAATGAATTACGTAAAAGTACAACCAGTTAACAAGATTAAAAATGCAAGAAACATCCAGAAAAAAACACCTTTTTTTCATTGTTCTTTCTATGTACATAGCGATTTGCTTTAGTTTACAAAATTCAGAGAATAACAGAAACTCCACATCATACACATTGTCATTCACTCCATGTACACAACAGTCTGTCTTTCCTTTAAAAAAAAGTAAATTGTACAAATTTGGCATTATACATACAGTTATTTTCCCCATGTACACAGTGATCTATTTCTATTAAAAATATATCAGAGAACTGCACAAATTTTAATTCATAAAATTAAATTTTTGGTGACGAATAGCATGAATATGTTTATGAAATACATAGATGTTCTCTGCCATTAAGCAAAGAAATTTGTGAAGAAACACAGTGCTTTATTTTTCAGCAGCCAGAAAACTGTACTCCCTCTATGATCCTTTGCAAGGGGGGAACTCTAATAACCGGCACTCATTTGCTGTACACGCATGTATACCTAGGTTGCATAGTTTAGTGACATAGTGCTGTGAATACTTTTTAGGACATGTGTGGATAATCAGTAAGCACTGGAAATTCTAATTGGTAGGAGGAACTTAAATGCACATTTCTTCTCAGAGCATAAATGTTGTCTCAGAGACTTGATTTTTTTTTTTTTTTTTTTTTTTTTTTTTTTTTACTTGAGACTGAGAAGTTTTTTAATTGGTAATTAATTTATTTCTTAAGATTTGATATTCTTTATTCTTAAGATTAAAGCATAGAGAGAGCAAGAAGGAGAAAGTAAAAAAAAAAAAAAAAAAAAAAAAAAGTTTTAAAAAGAGAGAGAAAAGGCAAAGAAAATCATATATAAAATAAAAATGAAAAATATTGTTTAATTTTATATTATGAAGATGTTTGCTTATTTTTTTAATTATATTGAAAAACTAATGCTGTTTATTTTACACTTAACAATAGTTTTTTTTATTAAAGTAGCTTTTCAGTACACAATAATCTGTTGATTTATCTGATACACAAGTTTATGTGCTTGAAAACTGCAGAAATGGAGATGTTCCAGTTTTGTATTTGACTGTCATAATTTGATATTCCACTTCTAGGTTATTCAATAGTCAATGTTTCAAGTTAAATTATTATACTATTTTTATTTGCAGATCATTTAGTTCACTGCATAGTTTCATGAGAGTAAAAAACTTTCACATTTGGAAAATTATAACAATTTAAACATTTTAAAAGGTTTTATTAGTTTCTGCTAATAGTTATCATTTTCAACCAATTTCAATCAATTATAATTACTTTCTTTCGTCAACAGAGTAAAAACTATTTTCTGCCAGTGCTAAATAAACACTAAAAAGCTATGTTAACATGCTGTTGTATTTTTGCTAAAAAATTTAAAGGATTACATTATAAAGTATCACTAATTGGTTTTTTACTAGGCACGTGGAATGTGTACAAATTGTTGTCCGAAAGTCACAGAGACTAACTGTTGTGAAAGATGTAGCACTTATGCTCAGCAGTGCAACTGGAAACTTCCAACAGTTGATAACTGTTTAGATATCATATGTCCAACAAAACAAGTAAGTAATTTTCATTATTAGTATCATAAGTTATAATATATATCAACTATAACCATAAAATATTCTCTTAAATGTTTATTTTCTGATAAAAATTCATTTAAGCCTAAGTGTTAAATTTCATTGCTCAAATTTTCTTATTGACCAGTATTTAATCTTTAATACTGTGATACTCTAATTTCTACTTTTTAATGATCTGCATCTGCTAGCTTTGAAAATTCAATTTTTGACATTACCGGTATGTTAAATAGTTCAGTTGAAATTAAGATAGAATTTGCCTCTGAACAATTTCTACATATATGGAACTCTATGTAAGATGTTTTCCTTTAATACTTTTCACATCAGTCTGAAGAAAACTTCTTTTATCACAGCTTTTTAATTATAAGTATACCCAGAAATCACCTGGAGCTAAATCTGCTCCGCATAGAAAGTATTTTATTGCTTTCACATCAAATTCACGCACAGCCAATAACCACAGTTGTAATATATGACCACGCATTTGCGCTTGAGCAAAATATACTGTTTGCACACAGTAAATAGAGTTGTATGCTAATGGATTGGCAGGATTGGAGTTCATAATCACATTGAATGGCATACCAGAATATGCTTTGTTGATAACTTGCGTGATACTCCTTTTCATGTGTCTTTCGTAATTTAAATGCTTCATTGATGTTCTTTCCAATTTTAACACAGATCTGACTATATTACTGCCAAATTTTGGTAGCATATTTTTTTCACCTGCTACAGTAAAACAGTTGCTCCCACACACTATGATGAAATGTTGAAGATCCTAACTGTAATGATGAACAAAATTTAAGACCAAAATGAGTACAAATTTCTAATAAAAATCCAAAGATTGGGCCTCAGAAAGATAATATAAAAAGCACCATAAGTTGTCTGTACCAGGAAGAAAAAAATTAAACAAATGTCCATGTAGCTATGTAAAACACCTCCACGAACAGACGGTGGGGTGCCTGCCTGTCTAGCAATAAAAATTATTCTATGAACAAACATAGCTGATAGCTTGCATGTTTACACTCATAGTAAGAAATGTCCTTAAAACAGTGAGGAAAAATTTCAGTATCATAAGACAACAATAGCCCATAGAGAGAAATTCTAGTAAAATATTCAAGCACCGATGTGTCATTTGATAGCTAAAAGCCACAAGAGCTGGCACATATTTGTAATAATCGAGAGTGCGGCTTGTGGATGGCTCATCTGACAGTCAGCTAAGGGATAATGTATTACATCTCAAAATCATTAGTATATCCATTCAAATATAGGCAGATCGAATTCTTCAGAAGTAAAATCCGTCAAGTCAGGTTTAAAGAAAAAAGAAAACTTTGGCCTCTAAGTTTTGAAGACTTGCATTCATACTGTAAACTCTGCTTTGAGTGCTTCTACATTTGTAGAAACTTATCAGTATTAAAGTCATACTTGCCAACCTATGATACTCAAATCAGGAGATTTTTTTAAGAAATCAGGATATTTTTCACAGTGTTAAAAAGACTTTTTAAATGATAAAAATATAATTTTTAATAATGTATTAACTTTAAATAGTTACTAATTCTTAAATGCAAGCAACATAAAAAACATTTTTATTACTTGCATCATTTAAGAAAACAAAAAAAGACACTTTAATTAATTGTGGCTGATTTTGCTTTCGTTAAGAAAGAAACTTCATAATTTTGTTCATAGCAATTGCCACGTAGGCCTGCTTTCGCTAATAAAAGTTTTTCTAATGTTTCATCACTAATATTAGAGATAAATTTAGTCCTCGTTTTCGCAGCAGCACTGAAAATTCTCTCGCACTCTGCATTACTATGGGGAACTGTTAAGATGGCCAACATAATTCTAGGCAGTTCACTATATTTTAAAATTCCTTTAGCACTTTTCAGTTTTCCAATTAAACTCCATTGGGTGTCAGTCCTAGCTGATTTTATAATGTCATCCAAGTTTTCTAATTGTAAACTGCAAAATGGTAACTGCAGTATTTATCAGTGGCAACGTCATTATCATCATCTTTTATGACTAAATGAAGGAACAGGAAATCTGTTCAAAAAGAACCTTATACAGTCAGAAGTCTTTAATCCGGACTCGTCGGGACTTCGGTGATTCCGGATTATAGATCATCAGTTTAAATCTGGTAAGATGGCATGCAGAAATTATAAAATTAAAAATATGAAACCGTAATTTATAAAATAATGAGCAATTATGATCTAAAGGGTATCAAAATTTACAAAAAAAAAAAAAAGCTTAATATTTATTTGTTTACTTTATTAAACATTTCTTTCAACGCGCGCATGCATAAAGCATACATTATGCATAGCCGAAATTAGAAAATTGCAACCAGAAAACTATTTGATTTGTATTCGTGATATTTATAATGACGAGGAATTTGATTTAAATCATATCAAAGACGAAGTACATCGAGATGAAATACTACATTTAGTAAGGAATTATAAGCTGAATAAAATAAAACCATCTGCCCTGAAGATAAACGATAGTGCTGGACAGATCAACTTCCAGTTCATTGCGCACCGCCACGTTCCCCCCCTCCCCTGCAGAGCAGCGTGAAATTGATAAACAGATTTCGGAACGGATTGGAGATAAACAAAGGATATGCCTTTATCCATTTTTTGGAGCAATTCCACTTTTTGTTTGATTGACATCGAAACATACTTTCGTTTTCGTAGATCCTTTGGGAACTCCAGCATCGGAAATTCTATTTGACATAATCGAAAGTTCAAGCTTACTTTTATAAAATTGCTCTTACAATCTGCAAAAAATAATAAGCCGGATCCAATTCAAAGATTAAGGGACAACGCAATCATCAACAATAACTGAAATAGACAATTAGATAATTTTAGCTTATACCGTCCGTTATACATTAAACGTGCAGCGAAAACGTATTCTGCGCTTGTGCACATGCAAATGCGCAGTCGTAAAGGTCTTACGCACACTCTTAAACGCATATGCGCATGTGTCAACGCGGCGCATGCCCAGAAAGTTTTTAGCTTTGAGGTCCGGATTACAGATCATTCCGGATTATGGGTGTCCGAATTAACGACTTTTGACTGTATCAGAAAAAGATGCATTTGCTAGAGCAGAAACATCAACAACTTTAGCATGCAAAATCACTTCATCGTTGACTGAAAAATTATGTAGTATGTAATCACATACTTGACAGAAGTAACTTCTAAGCATGAAGATAAAACTTATTTTTGTCTTCTTCCTGAAAGTTCTTCCACTACTTTTGTAGTTGCAGCTCCTATTACCAAATCTTCATGTTTCTTCTGATTTTCTATTTCACCATAAATCACATCATATATAGAATTACAAGACAAAACGCAGACTGGTTTTACAGACTTTGATAAAATATCTTTAAACAGATCATAAATCAGTGATTGCAAAACATGAATTAATGGAATTCTGCTTTGTAGAACTGTCTTAAGTATTGGTATGTTATTTCATAAGTTCGATTTCGTGTCAAAATACCTATATTAGAACAATGCTATATATAAATCTAATACATATCCTAAGTAGTGCTTTCGAGACATAAAAAACACAAGTTGAATTTCATCAATCAGCCCAGTAGAACGGGAAATATAGAACTGTCCTTTTTTTTGTGTGTGTGTGTGTGCAGTGTACATCTGTGCCTTTTTCGGAATTTGAAACAGGGCCGTTTGGTACAACACTCGCAGTCACTAACCACTTTTACATCTAGGCGGCATAAAAAGCAATATATATCTAAAAATGGTATCTAAAAATATATATCTAAAAATGGTAAACCTTTTAATGTTTATTGGTAAGAAACAGTTCTAAATTTAATATACAAAATTATATTTTTTTTTTTTAAAGAAAAGATTAAATATATTCTTTTATCTTAATCTAGCCCATCAAAATGATGGTTTAGTAAGAGGGGAAAAAATCCCAAATATCAAATCATTGTTTATAAAAAGTTCATCAAAATAACCTTTCTAAATGAAAGTTTCATATAAAATTCATCTAAAAGCCACTATTTGTAAAATAGTACTAATTTTTGATTTCTAAGAGCATTAATATTAAAACTGCTCAGTATATGAAAAATTCATGATGTAAGTCATATAAAATAAATGACAACATAGTGATATGTAGCAGCTAAAAGACTGATATGTTCATTGTTGACTAGCCTTTGCTTTTGTAAATAGTTGATCCATAGCTTAAGTGAGGTATCTTTGTTTAATGAAATATTATTGAAGAGCAGTATTATCTGTGAATTTTATATAGGATTGTTTTTTATAATGAGCATTTTATTTTGTAATACACTATACCAGTTGCTCCATAGATATAGTGATCATGGAAAAATAATGTCATTACTGTACAAAAAATTATATCACTTTATTTAGTTTCTTTTTATATTTCAGAGAGTGAACTGTATTGAATTTTTAGTGTGCGATTGGGGAAATCTTCAGTGTTGTAATGGTGGTGGCACCTACACTGTAAGTAATAAAACCAATTAAATTTTTCTACGTTCTCTCTTTTTTTGGGGGGGAGAGAGAATGTATGTGTTTAATTTTTATAACTACGTATTAAATATACTTATAATTACATTTAAGGATATAAAATGTTCAGTATAAAAACAGTTCATGTTTGCGTGTTTAATCATATTTTGTCAAATGATTTTTGGCATTTGAAAGAGAGACCTGTTTTAGAACATTGTATTTTGAAATTAGTAAAAAATTACCATTATTATTAGTACAAGCTGTCTGAAATGGAACTTTCATGCTACCAGATTAGAACCATCATTTTTTCCCTGTTCTGTTGCAAAACATCAGCTAAATGTCACCAAATCATGTATATAGCTTTAGGTACTAATGTTGTATCATATGACACTGCGAAGGTTTGGTACCGAAGGTTCAAAAACAAGGACTATGACATTCAAGAAGCAGAGTGCTCTGGCCAGCCTGCGGATGTTGATGGGGCCCATTTGCAAGAACTTGTGGAATATCAGTATGCAGCCACTTTAGAGCTTGCTAAGAAGTTAGACGTTAGTACCATGTCCATCAGTCCCGCCATGCATTGCATAAACTTAACATACAAGTTCAATCACTGGATGCTGCATGAGCTGACTCGAACAGATAAGGGCAGACATGTTCGCACCTACACTAATCTGCTTGAATATCAAAGCAAGTACAAAATTCTGGACCAGATTGTCACTTGTGATGAAAAAGTTGATAATAACGCAGGCTGAAAAGGGGATTGGTTTGCTCTCGGTGAGCCTGTTGGCAGTGTCGCAAAGCAAATTTAACTAAAAAAAGATCATGCTTTGTATGTGGTGAGATTGCCATGGTATTATCCACAGAGAGTATGTGGAAAAAGGGCAGATCTCTCGACAGTAAGGTGTACAGCGAGATGCTAGCCCATGTTGACACTGCTATCAAGGAAAAATGTCAAACTGAGTTCCGGCTCAAAAAAGTAATGTTCCATCAGAATAATGCAAGACTACGTGTATCTGCATTCACCGACTAGACTCTGTACGGACTCAAATGGGATCTTTTGCCACACCCAGCATGTAATGCTGACATTGCTGCTTCGAACTTCTACCTTTTTTCACACCTGCATCTGCATCTTGTTTGTGCTATCTTCCATTCTGCACAGGATGTCCGAAATGAGATTAATCTGTTTTTGGATTTGCAACCTCCAGTTTTCTGGGCAAAAGGTTTTTTTGGAAAACTACGAAAACATTGCCAGAAAATTATAGATTTGAGTGGTGATAACTACCTGCACTAAAAGTACTGCTTTGATATATTTTTCCTAACTTTATTAAGAATGTTTTTTCGCAGAAAACTTTCGTTACAACCAGATATTTATGTCTGTAATGCTATATTCTCTTTACTTGCATAAGCATATGTGGATTATTAAAAAAAATTTTTTTAAATAAATGTTTATCCTATTAAAAAATAATTTAGCATTTGCCATTTTTACATAAACAAGTGACATATAGCCATGTTCACATGAAGTTATTTTTTAGTCTTATCTTTAAAATAAATTTTGGCTACTTCTGATTATAGAATTTGGTTTCCAAATATTTTCATAATATATATAAATCATTTATGTTTCATAATATATACATTTTTACATGTAACTTACTTTTTTAACATTTAATAACTTTTTTAACATGTAAATTTCCCAACTTTTATTTTCAGTGTGGAAGTGGAGAATACACATGTGTTTGTGAAGCTCCGAGATGTGAAAACATAAACTGTTTATGCTGTGAGATATCATTTAGGAATGTTTCTGCAAATCAGTGAGAATCCAACAAAATCAGTATTTAGAATCAGTATTTTGATATCAGTTATACTGAAAGTTTTGTATCTATATTTGAAAAGTATGTCGAAGTTTCATTTTCTAGGATTTTTAAAATAATGTGAAGTGTTATACTTGGAAAATAAATGTTCCGTTATTTATACTTAAATAAAAGTTAGTGATTTTAAATAATGAAATATAATTTCCTACATTTATGATGCATATAAATTTTTATATTCTTTTACAATTTAGTAGTGTGTAATATTCTTTAATTTATAATTTTCGTACAGTTGGTATGTCAAAAGATTTTTTATGCATGTGATTTATTTGTAATAAAATAATATTTTCAAACGCTGAAAATATATTACAAATATTCTTATTATTTAATAATCATAAAAAAATTATTAACCTCATACCTAAGAGCTTACGGAAATGAATTTTGTTCTGCATTGGTAAGAAGTCGAAAGAGAAACTTGTCTCAAAATTTTGTCATCCAATTGATATGTAGTTGGTTTCTCTGCCTGACACTACATTGCCCCTCTCTGCAAAGTAAGAAGCCTGTTTTAAATTATTTACCCTCCAAAGTTGACACTGTACTAACTCTCAAAGCATGACATCCCTCTCTGCAAAGTAAGAAGCCTGTTTTAAATCATTTACCCTCCAAAGTTGACACTGTACTAACTCTCAAAGCATGACATTTATTGCTGAGGTGATATTTGCCGATCAGTGGGAATGCTAAAATGTTATTTGAATATGGAAAAGCACACGAGAGTGGGAGGAGTCCATCAGCTGCTGAGTGGTAAAGTTGTGAACACTTGTAGTTCAATCTTGGGCACGAATCCTGGCAAATAACTGGCTGTATTTCATGGTTTTCTCCATGTGTAACATTCATACAAGCCAATTTCTCCTTAAAAAATCCTCCGTAAAAGCATCCCCATAGACAGATAGTCCTTGAATTACTTTGTCTTAATCAAGCTTTCATAGAGGACTTTTTTAAGAAACCTGGTTCATTTTCATGTTACACATGGGGAAAACCTGGGTCAGTCAGCAGCTTGTTCCCCCCCCCTCACACTAGACTGATAAATAATGAAGGAGGATGAGCAATGTAAGAAAGAATCATATAGAATTAAAGAAATTGTTTGAACTGAGCTACTGAAGTATCAATATAAGAAACCAACTTAAGTTTAAATATTCCATAAAATTACATTTTTCAAGATTTTAACTGGTAAAATTTATTTATTTTGAGTAAATTGAATTAAAGCAAATACAGTTAAATTACTTGCAGGGACTACTGTAAAGTACCGAATTTTATTGTAGCTTCTTATTTAATTGCATGCCATGGGAAATACCTTGATTTTGTAGTTAATAGATTTTGCTTTTATGAATTATATAGTAAAAATATTTTTGCGAGATGAGAGTAGAGAAACATTTGGTAATCAGATGGCACTGAATTCTGGAAATATTTTGAAAAATTAGCAAAATTAAAACTGATTGTGAAGGATATTTGGATTTTTCTCTTAATTGTGTTAATTTTTCGAGCTGGAAATATAAATGCTGTATGCTATACATTATGCTTTCTTTATGTATAAAAGATGATTAGGGCATAATATATTTAGATTCATAACATAATCTTCTGTTGTAGCTAATAAGTTTAATGTAACATTTTTGAACTGATATTTTGTTTTGGATATCAGAAATATGCATATTAAAATTGCTTATAATTTTTATATCTGTTATACGTGAATTTAAAAATAAATTGCTGGAACATAGCAAATGCATCATAATATTTCCTGGCTTTGAAAAATATTTTCTAAAATTGTATTTTTGGATTTAAGAATCTGCACTCCAGTTTTGTGCTAATTGTTTTTTGTATGGTAAATCTCAAAACATGGTGCTGGACAGAGACCAACATTATAGTACAACAGTATCGAATTTTTCTATTATATTTTCCCCCTACTTTCATTTGTTATTGAGCAGCAAGCAAACTGCACACTTAAATGTAAGATTTTTTTTTATACTATTTTCAGGGATATATGGAGAGAAATGGCATTCTGTGAGCCAGACAGGTTTACATGCTAGGTGATCAAAGTTGAAAAAATATACTTCTAATAATTTTTCAATATTCATTCAATTAGTTTTAAGTGAAATACCAGATGGTCAATTTTGTCATTATTTTCTGTGTGAAGAATATATGAATTCCATATTGTTACACCCAGTAGACATCTAGATACCTTTTTTTACAGGGTGTCCATAATTTATTGATTGGAAAAAGATATGTTTTAAATATAATACAGAATAAGAAATAGGGAAAAAAAAGACTGGCTGAATTTTATATTAATGGACTTCAGTATGAGTGCCATTAAATGCTTGGAGAATATTAACTCTGTTCTTGATTCCATCCGGATGTTAATAAGTATTTGCATAGTAAAAGAAGCTGTTTTTACGGTTATTTGATTTTTACTTCCTTGGACATACCAACTGCAAGAAAATTTGGAAATCGTATTTCAACGAAAATAGCCATTTTGATCACTCTCAAATCCATTTGAATGATTTTTTTGCATGACATCTCTACATATGACAGAGTAAAGGACTCTTTTTTCCGAAATGGAATGTAAATTAGATTCAGAAGGGTTTTTTTTTTTTTTTTTTTTTTTTTGTGTGTGTGTGTGTGTGTGTGTGTGTGTGTACGTGTGTACATATGTATGTATCTTGCATAACTCAAAAACGAGTAGCCGTAGAACATTGAAATTTTGTATATGGGACTGTTGTAATATAGTTATGCACATCCCTTTTTCATTGCAATCAGCTTCACCAAACACGTATATATACACTGTATTATATATTATCACCCTGTTACACAGCTCAGTGAACTCAGTATTTTTATTCTTATATGTTGGTAAAAATGTAATAAAAACAAATGTAATAAAGTACTGAAGTAGGAACTGTAATAAAGTACTGAAGTAGGAACACTGAGATGCATAAACATAGAAATACTGATTGCGCAGCATGTAGATCATCTTGATGAGGAAGAATTTTGATTGCATAGAATGGTAACCCATAATAAATCTTGGCAGTCGAGGCAGATTAAATACCATTTCTATTTAAATTCATATTTCTGATCACGTTTGATTTGGCACTCTAATTGTGCCTATTTCCAGAAATTTTTTGTTGATACTGTTGCAATAGAAAGAGAGCACAGCGAAATTATGTCTAAGCAGCACAGAGGGTGAAGCTAAAGGTGTGCATTTATCCATTATGAAAGATCACCAAGAGGAAGGTTTTGGTTTAGGTCAGAAAAGATTCAGTTCTCAAAATTTTGAGTTCAAATTCTAAATAAGCTATGCCATCATCTTTATGCAAGCTCTGTGGCATATAATAATCTAGAAATGGCACAGTTAGGAAAGTTATTACTATTTTTAGAATAGAAAGAGACAATAACCAAATTAAAAATGAGAAATTTAGAAGCTATTACTAAATTAAATTATAAAGCTGATTTATGTATTTTTTATCTTACATATTATTCCCTTCAAAGAGAGAAAGGATTTTCTATCGCCAAGCCAAGTCCAGCCAGTAAATGCAGACACATGTGGTTCTTACATTATCTCGATGGAACATTACCTTTTTGCGCTGAAATTCAGTTTGCTGTTTTTCTTTGAATGCAGCATCAAAACAGACTATCATCTCGCTGTACACCTTACTGTCAAGGGTTTTACCTTTTTCCAGATACTCTTTATACTTGTGGATAATACTATGGCAGTCCCACCAAATACAGAACATACTCTTTTTGTTAGTCAAATTGCGCTTTGCAACACTGCTGACAAGCTCATTAGTCACAGACCAACCCTCTTTTCAGCCTGTGTTTTTGAAGTAAAATCACTTTTCATCACAAATGAAAATCTGGTCCCGAATTTTGCCTTGTCTTGATATTCGAGCAGATTAGTACAGGTGTGAACATGTCTGTCCTTATCTGTTTGAGTCAGCTCATGCATCACCCAGTGATTGAACTTGTACGTCAAGTTTATGGGATGCATGGTGCGACTAATGGACATGGTACTAATCTCTAACTCCTTAGCAGGCTCTGGAGTGGCTGCATACTGATCTTCTTCCACAAGTTCTCGCAAGTGGGCTCCCATCAGCATCAACAGGCCTGCTAGAGTGCTTTGCTTCTTGAATGTCATTGTCCTTATTTTTGAACTTTTGGTACCAAACATTCACAGTGTCATATAATACAACATTAGTGCCTAAAGCAACACACATGGTTTAGTGGCATTCTGTAGCTGACTTTTGCAACAGAACTGGGTGCAAAATATTCTTGCAGCAATGAGAAGTTCTGATATTATTTCTCAGAAATGCATTCAAACTCTAAAAACTTTTAACAAATATATATTAATAATAATTTTAAGAAATGTAGAAAATAGGAATGTTTTATCGCTACTACTTTTATATGTGTTTTCCTCAAAATTATGTAGTTGGAATCATAAAAGTACAAGAAATCATAAAAAGCTAATTTTTGTGTTTCCTTATCAACATAAATATCTAATAGCTCTACAGACTTCGCCCTCTATATCCAGTATCATAATCATCTTCCATTTAATGGGCATTAGAATTCTCAAAGCACTATCATCAAAACTACCATCTTTATCCCTTACAATGTGCTCTTTTTCTTCAGGTTTAGAAGACAAAATTATGTCGTACATGTGATAATGTTAGCCATGTGGTCTATGCATTTATCATATCATTATTTCTTTTATTATTATTTTAGAATAATGTGTTAAATGGCAAAATTTAATGGATATTTTGAAAAGCTGGGAAACTTGATGTCATTTACCCTAAAAATTTATGGTAACTTCTTTGTTTTAGATTATTTCGGAAGAAAACCTTTAGAAATTTTAGTAGAAAGGGGAGTGGGTAAAAATTATATTACGAAATAACATAATCAATATTGCAATATTAAATTATGTATTAAAATTTATTTTGAAATCATTTATGAAGAGTTAATTGGTTGGTAATGCTTAGATCCAAAAACAATGGTGCAAAGCTTGAAAAGAGTAGCCAGGCTGACTTTAGGTCGACAAGTGAACATTAGCAACAACAACAACTCCTTTATCAGCTATATTAGAATGATAATTTACCTATGACAGTACAAGACTTGTGGCTACTCAGCATTGACTTAAAACTTTGGAATGTTTTTATTGTTTCGATTAAGCTGAATACGATTTAAGGGAAGCTGTTAAAAGATTATTTAAGTGTGAAGGAGATTTGTTGTGATATGAAATTTCGGCGATATCCGAATTGTTTTTTATGTATCCCTGATACTGAATTTGATTTTGAAAGACAGAGTTTGTTTCACCTCAACATTATATTTATCCGTTCTA